CACACGCACACATGCACAACTTCTCTGTGTGGCTCAACGAGGATGTGTTTGCATTCGTTGACGAAATCTGACGCTCATGCAGGTTTTTTCTCGTGGTTTGCAACGTGGAGGTCTCCGCAGGGAACGGGGCAAATTAAATTTCTTCTGCCTATTGTTTTTCTTCTCATTTCTCCTTGGGGTCTTTTGAAAGAGCGAGTGCGTGCGTGTCGGCAGCGTAGAGGAAAGGTCGAGTGCACCGCTGAGACGGCTTTTACCATGGTATGCCCTTTCAAGCTGGTAGTGCGAGTTGTTCTTCTTGCGACTACTTGCAAGTTGCTGCTGGACGCCTATAATTACCGGCAGCAAACCCAACGTCGTGCCAGTCGTCCGCCAGAAGGAACGGAAGGTACCGAGACGGATTATGCAGCAGGTTGAATGAAGGTGATGTGTGGCGTGGTGCAGCATGGCTAGCGTCTGTGACGGTTGTACGCGGTAGGCATTGGAGTCCAAGTTCCCAAAGTCCACAGGAGGTCGCGCCGCGTATTACAATGCAGCAATGTTTCTACATCAAAAAACGGTGACTGAGACGACGTGCGCAAGTGACTCGTTGCGGTTGTGGTTCCGTGTGGGCATTCGCCATAAAAATGTGCTAGGCTATCTGCATGGGCACGCCACGCCCGCTGCAGGTGGCAAAATAGGACCAACCTTATCGTCCGGCAATTGTGTCGTGTGGGGGGTATTTCTGTGGCGCAGTCAAATGCCGTCCGTTTTCTTTTTTTTATCGCCCCCTTTTTCCTTTTTTTTCGGGTCTTGGGCGTAGAGAAATTCCCTCTCTGCTTTCCCCCTCTCCCGCTGTGGTGCGGACCTTTCGCGTCTTGCCTTGCGCCCCTCATGGACTCCCCGGCACACCCAACTCGGTTGCGGCGCCGCGGGATTACTCCCACATTGGGGTCTGGATTGGAGGGGGTCTTTGCCCCTCCAACCACTCTTCAAGGGCCATGGACGGGGGCCAACAGAGGACGCATCACACACAAATTACAATGAGGATGAAGTGCGGGGACATGCCTCTAAAACGACTCTTTCACTCTCTCCAAGTGTGTGTGTGTGTTTGTGTGTGTGTCTGTTCTGACTTGCCAGTCGTCCGTATTCAGGCCACGTGCCGACTTGTCTCCTCCCATCGCTTTCCTTTGAGCTAGGACCCAGCTGCAGAAGGAAAGGGAAGTGAGAAGAGGGGAACAGCGCCTCGTTGTAGGGCCCCGCTTCCTTGAAAAAATATGCATTGGTGTTGTACTTTGTTATTTTCTAGCCTCGGTCGTTGCTCTGTATTCCCAAAGAAATGCATGCAGCGAGTGGGTGGTGGGAACCGCACCACGCGGCCCCCACCTTTCTTATGCGGTTTGCGGTGTCGCCGTGCCCCACTTTTGCTTGTTAGTCGCGCTGTTAACAGCGGCGGAGGGAAAAGTTTTGACGCTCAGCATGCGAATGCTCGCCACTTCGTTGCGCTTCCTTCTCGATGCTGCCTCACCTCGAGCAGACTCCCAAAGGCAGAAACGGCAGAGGCAACACTCACTCCGCTGAAGTGTCCTGAGTGTGGGAAACGATTTCTTAGCGTCGCGAATCTGCGACAGCACCGGCGTTCCCGTCATCTGGTGCCTCTCAAGTCTTCCTCAGAGGAGCAGCTTGAGCGTCTGAGGGAGACCAACGCGCGGCTGCTCGAGGAGCTGAGAAATCTACAGGAAATCAATGCCTTGAGAGCGCGTTCTGCCTCGTCGTTACCGACGGCTGCAACGGAGCCATCGCCTACGCGGGAAGGTAAGGGCGGGAAGCCCTTTCCCGCTGCTGTTCCTGAGGGGAGGGCGGTTGATATTTCCATGGCGGAGGCGCAGCAGCTGCGGGACCACCCTTTCCGATTAGGCACGGGAACCTCCGACGTCTGGTGTGTTGGCGTGGTGGAAAACGATGTTGAGTTGGGCAAACTAGGCGTCAGAGCCGAGCAAGAGGCTGGGGAGCGTTTGACAGGGTTAGAGGCGATGCAGTTTACCCTCCAAACCGAAGGATATCGTCTCAGACGTGTTGGTCAGTTAAAAATGTACCGTAATCGGCTCACCGTACGTGTTATTGCACCTCAGTACAGGGCGCAAAAGGGGGATATCTTACTTGTGGCGGGGACTTACGGACTCCATAAGTCGTATGACCTGGTTTCAAAGCAGGCGGTAGAAAACGCCGTTCTGGAAGCCGGGTACGTAGGACTGCTGCAAAAAGGACCCGTTGACGCACCTGAGAAAACCTAGTACACTACTGCGTACGTCGTCGCACCCCCACTAACACACATACTTTGTTTCCCTATCCTCTACACACAGCTACGCTTGCATGCCTACGCATACGCGTTTCCGTGGCTAGGGTGAATGGATGGGCTCGGGTGCTGCCTTGGAGTGTAGATGTATTTTTCCCCTCTTATTTATGTCTGGGAAGAAGAGCGAGGTAACGACGTCTAACAACAAGGTAAGATAGTAACAACATAAAGGGGAAGTCACCTCTCTACCTCCTCCTCCCCCCCCCCCCCACTCCTCCCTATATAGTAAAATGTTCCATCGTATCTTTGGCTCCCGTTCACGGAAGGCGTACCGTCATAACAAGTTTGGCAACATCCGATCTTTTCGAAAGTTATTTGAGATTATGGATCGGAAATACAGCAACGTCTCCATCACCTTCTTGATTCTTCACCTCATCATGGAGTTGGCCTCGGTGGTATTGTATGTATGGAATTCTTTGGCGTCCGCGGCCACATCCGTGGCGGAGTTTCACTGGGATGAGGCCTTCTTTAATATTGAGCTGGCACTCAATATTATCTTCTTCTTGGAGTGGATCGCTCTTTTTTTTGGGGAGGAAGACAGGGTGGGGTACTGCCTCTCTTGGTTGTCCCTAGTAAACGCCTTGACAAGTGTTCCAATGATAGTTATTGGTATTGGGGGGTTAACGAACCCAAGCTGGCGCAGTTATTGGGTTCCAATGTATCTTCGCGTGTGGTGGCTGCGTGACTGTGTGGTGGTGCTTTTGGATTACCCGCAGGTGGAGCGCTGGATGAGGGAGATCACGCGAGAAGTTTGCCGCTTTCTTACCTCTTTATTTGCTGGCATCTTCACATGTGTCGGTACGCTTCAAATTGTTGAGAGCACAACTGGGCCTTACATGGACATTTTTGATGCGTTTTACTGCATGATGCTTGCCTTTGCCACAATTGGCTACGGCGATGTGACGCCAAAATCGACGCCTTCTCGGCTGGTGATGATTGTTTGTATTTTTGTTGCCATGAGTCACTTCATGCCGTTGTTTCAGCGAGTGGCTGCCATCAGTCGCCAGCACCTGCGTTATAATGTGTACAACTCCCACGGCGGAAGAAGAGCGCATGTGATTTTGGCTGGCGTGTTCACGGAGATGGGGGTGGAAATTATTTTGCAGGACTTTTATGGCGGCTGGCGCAGGTACGTTGACCTGCAAATTGTGCTGCTCTCACCGGTGGAGCCCCCACCCGAGGTGAAGCTGCTGGTGAACCTGCCCTGGTTCAGGGATCGCGTGGTGCTGATGATTGGAGACCCCCAAAGGGAGGCGGATCTCAAGCGCGCCGATGCACGCCATGCCGACGCCATATTTTTGTTTGGCGATACCTTTCCCTCCACGTTTCACACGGATTACAACCTCATTCAACAATCACTCTCCATTAACCATCACGATTCTGAGCTCGCACAGTATTTGTACCTTCGCAGCGAAAAAAACACCAAACATGTGGCCCCCTACGCTGCTGGCGTGGTAGAGGGGGAGAGGCTCCTGCATCATTTGCTTGGACTCGGCGTCGCCGTGCCTGGGGCTATCCCACTCACCATCAATTTGCTTCGAACCTACGATCCCATCACGTTGGACCTGAACCGTGACTCCCACTGGGTGGAGCAGTACGAGTCGTCGCTGCGAAATAATATTTATTGCGTCGCGGTACCGGATGCATTTCGCGGAGGAAACTTTCACCCGTTGGCAAAGTTGTTTTTCAACTATGACGTCACACTCATAGGCGTCATCGGCGCGGCTGGGATGGTGCAACTGAACCCTGCCCGCGTTCCCACCTCCGTCGCCAAGATGATAGCCATCGCGCGAAGTCCGGAAACCGTACAAGAGGCCATGGATGAGGTGGAGAAAATATATGACTTCGCCAACTCCCGCGAGGGCGATGACCAACCGTGCAACGCTTCCCTTTTGCTGGGAAGCGGAAAGCTAACACCGGCATCCTTGGCTAATGCGTCTCTTGAACAAGTTGAGTGCATTCAGAAAGTAGACGATGCTTATGACTTTGAAAATCATTTCGTTGTCATTGATCTCTCCATCGCAAAGGATAGCGCGACGGAGACAGGAGGGGCACACGAGGGAACCCTGACTTCCGCCGCCGTCAATGTTTTTCACGTCATGCAATGCATTCGCCAGTCGTACGCCCAAAACGACATTGTGCTCTTGACGAAGGATACGTCCTTTTCAGTGTACTTTGACCGTTATTGGAATAGCTTCAACGGGGCGCTTCCCATAAGGCATGTCGACGGCTGCGGGCTGAATACGAACGATCTGCGGCGCTGTAACCTCAAGGAAAGTGCTGGCATCATCATTCTTGTCTTTGGCGACACCAGCAGTAAATCAACTACCGGGTTGTCCATGCTTGTTAACCTCTCCATTGCCTCCATTCTCCCCTCCTCGCACAACATCCCCGTCGTGGTGGAGCTGGATAGTCTTCAGCACCTTTCTCTCTTCCCGCCCTACGCTGAGTATGGCCGCTTCCGCAAGAAAGCGGAAGTGGATTTTGTTTATGAGCCAAATTACATCATTGGCAACGCCATCAGCAGGCATATGCTCTTCCCTGTGGTTCACCTCACGTATTTCATGCCAGAGTTCATTGACATTCTTGACATGCTTGTGAGCGGCGTGGATCAAGAGACCCCGTCGCTGGGGCGACTTTCGCTGGCTCTCTCATACGAGGTGATTGAAACCTACGAGGATGTCGTGAAGTACTGCCTTAGCCTACGCTATATGCCCATTGCCTTGCATGTTTGCATTTACGACACAAAAAATGCCTCTCTCAACGGGCAACGCTTTGTCATGACGAATCCACCGACTGACTTCCCGGTCGACCGTGAAAAAGACGCCGTCTTTTACTTGCTACCCACGTAACACGTCAAAATTTCTTTTTATGTGTCTTTTGCTTCGTGCATTTCCGTGTGTGTCTTTCTTTGTCTGTCTGCGCACCGTGAATTATATGTGCCGAAGAACTGCCGCGCGTACGATGATGATAGGCCTCTACTCACAATGGCGGCGGTGCGCATTGCTTTACGCGGTTTCTTTTTCCCCTCTTCTCTTTGCCTTTACACACAACTGTCGCTGCCTGGGCGGGCCCACCACAAAGAGGGAAGGAAAAGATAGAGAGTGAGAAGCAGCAGCCCAACATTTCCCGGCACCCTTTTTTTTTCGCGTTGCTGCTGCTCCTTCTCTGCATCCTGTTAATGTGCGGCAGTAAAGGAGAGGGGATTGATGCAGAGAGGGCCATTGGCCCTTTTGCAGGGACGACAGCGGTACCCGAAGCTGAATGGAAATAGATGGCGGCTGCTGACGCGTCAGTCACCTCGCTGCGCATCCCAAGCCTTGTGAAAGTGGGGGATGATGTGTTTGCCGTTGCTGAGGCGGAGTCCAAGGAAAGCAACAGCGACGATGCAGGTCGAGTTACCGGGATTGCGTCAAAGCTGCTCAAGACAGGTAGCGTCCTAACGGAGATCTCGGCGGCGGGCACAAGTTGCCCTCCCCACTCCCCCTCTCCCCCCGTACGCAGCTGCTCAAGGAAGGTGGCGAGGCTGAAAGGGGGACAAAGGACATAATGCGACCAACAACAATTGTCACTGCCGGCCATGTCTACATGCTGCCGGGAAGGTGCAACCCTGCACAGGGGCTGTGCCCAGTGTTCCTGTGTACGGTGGCTGCGGCCTTTTGTTGGTGCAGGGATCTGTCGGTGCGGTGGGGGGTGAAGGTGCGACCCATGCAGTGAAGCCTGATGCTTGCGGAACTCTGAAATACTTGACGCGGTTGGTTTGGTGGCGGAGGCTCGGGTGCTGTGCTGAGCGACGGCACGCTAGTGTTCCCCATGCAGGCCACAAGCAAGGGTGGTAGGAACTTCCTGCTGTCCATGCGCCTCATG